TTGGTGAGAAGTCGCCTGGAATATTGCTCATTAATATGGAATCCATTTTATGAGGTGAATTCATATAAAATTGAGAGAGTTCAAAAAATTTTTAGTAAAATCGCTCTTGGTGTGCTTCATTGGCCGGATGGTCTCCCATCATATGAAAGTAGGCGTAAATTACTCGGCCTCCAAGCTTTATGCGATAGAAGAACATGTATTTCCCTTTTGTTTGTCTATAACATAATTAATTCCAATATCAATTGCTCAGATCTATCAAATCTATTTGCTTTTTATTTTCCACCGCGGGAACTGCGGCATAACAGGTTACTTATTGAGGTAACACATAGAACTAATTATGCACTGAACGAACCAGCGGCCAGAGCTATACAACTAGCAAATCGGTATAGTAGCGTTCTTAATTTTAATAATAGCTTAAGTAAATTTAAATTAGAACTATTTTCTATCTTTAATTAGTCTGTACAAAAGCTTGTTCTTTTTAGACCGAATAAATAAATAATAAACACTGTCTTGCTAAGCAATTTGGAACAAATGGCCTAGGATTCTTACCTGTCATTTCACACCAAATATTAAAATTTAAAAGTGGAATTTGAATTAATTTAAGGTTATGTGATGTGTCTCCAGATTTAATGTGTTTAGTTCCTCGTCCTGTTCTTGTTCATTTTGTAAAACTTTGAAATTCAGTTCTGTACCCTTAATTGCATCAACTTCGAAAGCTCGAGATAATGTGTCAGCTATAATGTTCTCCTGTCCTTTAATATATCGTATGTCATTAGTAAATTGTGCAATGAATTCCATATGTCTAGTTTGTCTCGGACTACGTTTGGTTTTTGAACTCAAAGCATATATCAAAGGCTTGTGATCTGTAAAAACTGTAAATTGTCGTCCTTCTAAAAGATAGCGAAAGTGTTTAATGTTCAAATAAATAGCTAGCAACTCCCTGTCAAATGCACTGTACTTAACCTCGGATGGAGAAAGTTTCTTAGAAAAGAAAGCTAGTGGCTCTGATTTGTTATCAAACGTTTGATGTATGACACACCAATTGCCGTATTAGATGCATCCACATTTAAAGAGAGTTTGGCATCTTTGTTAAAATGATTTAACAATACCGTAGACGCAAACTTTTCTTTAATACATTCAAAGGCTTTATTTGTTGTGTCATCCCAAATTAAGGACTTGTCACGTTTCTTAGTTGTTCGATTGATTAAATCGTAGATAACTGCCGTAAACTCAGCTTTGGTACATATCGATGCCTATGCCTATAAATTTCTGCGCCTGTTTAATAGATTTACGGACGTTCAAAACTACGAATAGCTATCACTTTTTCATCAGAGGGTCTAATTCCTGCCCCAGAAATATTATGTCCTAAAAAGTCGAACACTTGTTACACCGAAAGTACATTTACTTGGTTTGATATTTAACCCGTATTCTGTTAGGCGTTGGAAAAGTATACGGAGATCTTTAAAATGCTGTTCTTCATTTTCACTTGCAACCAATAGATCATCAATATATGTAAAAACAAAATCTAAACCACTAACTACTTCATTAATAAATCTTAGTCCGAAAGGCATTCGTATAAATTCAAACATACAAGCTTGCGTAGAATCTTCTGCCATTGGAATTGGTGGTAGGCCCTTACAAAGCAAAAAGAAGCTCTGCGCTAAAATACTATCATATTACTATTACTACAACATTTCTATCTGTCGCTTTTTTCTTAATTTCACAATATTTTTAGTAAATTTTTTTTTTAGTTAATTTTTTTTCAAATCGCCTGATAACCAACTTGGGATATTTTCTTTTATTTAAAAATCCCACGGTTTTCGTTAGTTGGGTTATATTCCACTTCAAACTGCTCAGTTTGCCTCGGAAAATGCCGTTTTACCCCATTTTCAAACGGTTCCCTAGGGGTCTGTGGGAGGTCGCAAAGGGGGGTGGGGCTTTTCGTAAAGTGGCGACTGTCCCCTTTCGAATGAAGGGGGTTTAGGGGCCACGGCCCCTCCCCCTCCGCCCCCCACTCCAAAAACGATGGGCCAATAACTAAACATTTCCCTTATTTTTACCTTCTTACCTTCCTTTTATTAACTCGGGATGTAACTATGTAATATTGATGCGCCTAAAAGATGCAGCGATTTCTAATTCTCAAGTTACATACCTGATGACAGTGCGAATGGCAATTGTAATAGGGAGGGTGTCGTTGTTGCTGCTGCTTATCGCCGGTGTTGATTGCTGCTACTTTTTGCCGTTGTTGTTGCTGCAGCTTGTTTCCGTTGTTATTGTTGTCAGTAATGAACAGACACAAAGTGGACAAGAGATTTTCTCCGGTTGTATGAAGGATGCAGGTAACCACGACCAATTGCTGGGGAGCGATTTTTGGTATGTGCACGCTTGACGTTAACGCTGATGTGTGAACTGATTTCTGTTGATGTAGCTGATGAGGTTTATTAGAACTGCTCTTGCTACCACTGACGAAACTGTTGCGACGCGTTTTAGTTGAAACCGCTGCTGTGGCTGTTGCTGCTATTGTGGTTGTTGTTATAGTTGGCGCCGTACTCGCAAATTGTAGTGCTGTCGACTTGCCTCTCCGTCAATGCAGAGAGTGATTAACTATTAACGGATTCGGCTATAGACTACACTTAACCGTTCTTTCGATCACACTAAACATGTCCTCGCAACTCTAGTGTTCTTTCGTGTTATAGCCAATTTAATTCTGTTACACTGTTTCTTAGTAGAACTATATTCACAACAGAGAAAATGGTTGCTGACCGAAAATGTCGTGAGCTTACAGCACTCTTAAAACTCTTTTATTTTGCTTCCAACTACAGCTATTGCCGCTCCTGGCAGGATCGCCAATTGTGTAGTGAGTATATCAAGGATTTAAAGAAATTCAATTTAATATTTAATATTGTATAAAATTCGGTTGTTTACAGTTGCAAGAAAAATGTTTGAATAATAATGAAAACTTTCAGTTTGATTGACGAACCACAAAAATCACATAAATCTAAAATTTCCAAAATTACAAAGTTGAAATGAACTAGTACAACCACAGTACAATAAAAGGTAATAACACAAATACAAACCCTACAGTGTTCAATGGGGTTTAGGTCTGGCGATTGAGACGGCCATAACTGGCACTTTTCCTTAAACCACTACTTTACCAGTTTTGCTGCATGTTTAGGTTCATTATCCTACATTAACCCCCACCGCAATAGCATGTCTTCTTTAGCATAGGGAAGCCTTATCGTCTGTAATATGTTTACATAGTCAACCGCGCACATTTTGTTCTTTTTCCAAAATATTGGACCAACCCCTTCCTCCGGGAAGCATACCATACCATAATTGAACCCCCGCTGTGCTTAACCGTTTTTTCGTGTATTGTGGATCAAAGGCTATGTTCGTAGGACTTTTACGTACTGTTTTCCATCTGATCCAAACATATTAATTTTTATCTGATCAGACTACAGCACATTTTTCCAATTTTGACGGAGAAGATGTTTTCTGGCAAAAGCAAATCTGGGGTTTCTGATTTTAAGGCTCAGCAACTTTACCTTTATAGGGATTCTGGCTGGAAGTTTGGCTTCTGCCAAGCTGTACCTAATGGTTCTTACTCATCAAATTTCCATGTTTTCTTTAACTTATTATTAAAATCTACTCCTCTTCCTTGCAGTGTTTAGCTCGGCCCATTTTATTCTTTTTTCTGATTCAATAACCTATCTATAACTTTAATTTAGTTAACATTCTTTAAAAACGCAATTAGTAGCGTCAAAAATAAATAATTTATGTTGGTGCGGCTTAGGGGATAATAAAACATAATTGTATTTTTTGTTATATGGCAATCCTAATTGTATCGTAAACTGTTTGTAAAATTTTGTGTTAGTGGCAACGCCATGCCAAAGTGTGTAAACGATATGACAGCCTTTATGTGAAAAGAAAAATAGCGGCATTCGTGGCTGGCATATTGGGTTCAATCGATACCACTAATCCATGTTCTGACCGACATCGAAAACATGTTTTCGTTGCTAAAACTGGTTTTCGACTTAAAACTTGTGTTTTCGTTCATGTAAAATCTGTCAAACGAAAACCAGTTTTCGCTGAAAACTACTTGAAAACTCACGTTCCACTCATTCCAATCGGTGTCTTCACTAGTTTTTCTCGATTATTTATCGAAGTGGAAGTCATACTTTATCATCTTTAATACGCCATTTCGGATTTATTGTTAATTGGCTGGCAAAAGTAAAATAAGTATGAAAGTAAGAGGTTGCAAATGAAAAGAAAAAGAGGGAAAAGCATTTTGGTTTTGTTTTTGTGTAGCAGAACTGTAATCAGAGGATGTAAGAAATGTCAACGAAAACACTAACAGCCGGTGTGAACAGCCTTCAGTCCACAATCCCAAAACAAGTTTTCAAAGTGTTTTCGTTGTCGGTCAGAACATGGTATAAGGCATCACTCTAATGAGTACTTGTACTCAAAAGACTGAAAGTATCAATACCACTCAGTATCGGCAAAGTATCGAGTACTTACTTGAATTGTTTTCATCTTCTCTTTCGAGAGATACTTCCCTTTTTTGTTTTAAAAGGTCGTATGATTACGTGTTATCATGGTTCAAAACATTGTATGTCAAAAATCAAATAAAAATCCAATAAGGTTACAGGTATAGAAAACGTATATATTTAAGTTATTTAGTAAGAATACAATATAATTATTAATTAAGGAACAAGGAACAGTATTGGTTATAATTTTTTCAGTTGGTTTGGTGTTTGACTGAGCTTCTCTTCCAATTTGTAGTCTGTGTCTTAATGTAATGGAGGGACCTACAGTTTTGAGCCCCGTCTGACCGGTAAATGAATTTTGTGAGAATAACTCAACGTTTTAAGCGCACTAGTCATGTGAAGATTTTTTTTCATAGGCATGGGAATAGAACTGTTGGTGTGCTTTAATAAAAAAATAGAAAATATGTGCACTACTTCAATTATATTTATTATGTGTATTTGTATAATTAATAGCGCGTCCCAACAAACTGCATCGATAAGCACGTGGCCTGGCAATATTAATGCCAATGAAAGGATTATATATTCAGCTATGAGCACAGCATTAAAAGCAGCATCGAAACTACCCGTAAGTGAAGCAAAAACATTGGAAAAATTTGACGTAATATCACCTTTAGTTGAGACTTCGTCTAGTACAGCAACAGTTGTGTCGACTACGGCGCAGGTTTCATCAAAATCTTCATCGCCATTCAATGCCGTGATCTTTGAAGAATCTTCAAAGCTCTCACCACTTTCTGAAGAAATCTTCTCACCGTCAGAAATTGCTACTGCTACTAATTGTGCAGGTAGTACTATTGTTGGCGATTCGATTACGAAACAATTAATAAAGTCGCCCATTTCATCTGGAGCTAGATCACCTATAGGGCGACATTTGCTTCCGTTTCTGAATGAAACATATCACAACAACAATAAGCAACAGATCCAAAAAAGGAACACTAATCTGAAGAATCGTTGTGAGAATATGCTATCAATGTCAGGCAATAATAATCAACAACTACCTGCGGCAAATACTGCTGGGCGGACCGGGTCCTCACCAACCAACAGTATTAAAAATATCAAATGTGAGCCGTATTCAACACTATCTCCGCTAAATGGTAAGTTTTGCTTGTTTAAGAAAAGTGAAAGTATTTTAATCTGTATTTGCATAAGGAGAATCTATTAAAATGTTAGGCATAATTAGGACAACTACCACACTATCTCAAAATAATGACTGTACTGAAAAGGCTGCGCATTATGCACCGCATATAACCTCTTTTATTTGTTTTGGAATGAAAATACTTTCCGCTAAATTTTGCGTTTTTTTATCTTAGATGCGTATATACCTCTTGGTCTCAGTGTATACCTCTTTATAAATCTGTCTATGCATCGTAAGGAACGTGTGCTCAATACCTGGTTATCACTACCACACAGTTAAACAGCATTATCGACATTTTCGACATCATGCATATAACATGTTATCGATAAGTGGTCGTTGTATTTAACCGGAGCTTTTACCTCCGGTTTGTGTAAATGGACCCAAGATAAAAAAGCAAAATCGACAAAAATTTGCGGATAGTATTTCCATTCCAAAACCAGTATTCATCGCCCCGTATCGATGGCCCAAGCTAATTTATCTCAACTCGTCGATAGCCGTTATCTATCCTATTTTAAGCAGTTAAGCGATTACTTGAATCCAAAGTTGAACGAGAGTTGGCTGCCGACCAACTTCATTGAAAGCGATTTGTTGAAAGGCCGTTAGCACTATTCAACTCTCGCATTGAACAACAAGTTGAACAATGCAAATGCTGCTTTAGGTCGGTGTTATGCAAAAATTTTGTTTGGCAACTGCATACAATTGTTGTTGCAGCAAACATGGATAGAGATTCATCTGCCTCGGGAGACACGAACAACAATAGCCCAACTTTGCTCTGGCTACTGCAGCAGGTTAAACTCATACCTGAGCAGACTGCATGCGGATGTGCCAAATGAGGGTCCGGCATGCGGAGAGACCCCACATAACTAGAAACATCTCTTCGCATGCCCGGAAAACCCGACAACCCTAACGGCAACCTGTGGACCGACCCGGTAGAGGCTGCACGCTTCCTAGGGCTGCTGTTAGTGAAACTTGACGACAACGACTGAGATATCAACCGATCTGGGCGGGGTTGTTGTAGCCGCTACAACAACAACAACAACAGATCGAGTTTGGCGACTTACAACAGCCGGTTCTACCCGACCAAGAGCTGTTGTTTCGGCGATCTAACTCAAATATCTCAAGCGACGCTCGTCCATAGGGCTACATCTGCTACGTACTCTTCTGCTCAGGGCTGGCATCGAGCCAAACCCTGGGCCAGAAACTTACACCTGCTGCATGTTCCAGAGACGACTACACCACAGCTCCACCTCAGTTGTTGTTGTTGTAGCAGCATACAAATTCCCCAAAGACTTTTTGGGGAGTGTTGCTGGAGTGACAGTCCTTGGCCAGATATAAATCTGGGTCGTTCCGGTTACGTAGACCCGACTGTCGTGGGAACGGCTCCACCTCTGTCAAGTGTAATGCTTGCAACGGGTGGAGCCTCCTCAGAGTCTTCTCGTGCCTACGGACTCACCGGCAGTGGATCACACAACCGACACATCCGCACCACCACCCATACGCCGCCGCCAACAACTCCAGGTTCCTCCCACAATCTGGACGAAGTGTCAGAGCAGGATATTCCGTAACGTGACATCAGTCAAGTGCAATACCTGCCTTGGCTGGTGCCACTTTAGGGCATGTTCAGGTCTGCGCACCACGCGAGCTTGGACGAGGAACTTTGAGGGCCCGTGTTGCGCTGCACGGTCGAAAACCCCAATTTAATTTTTAAAATTTCTTCTTTTTCTCATTTGGGGCGCAATTTCCTGCTAAGAGCACTGTGGTTTTGGATACCACTGGATGCACTTTTCGTCATTTCATTTATCAACACACCCGTCCTCTTTCCCACATGTGATACATCTCTTTTTAGCTTTGCAGGCTAGTCTCGTGTGCCCCAGCCTACCACAGTTATAGCACTGTCTTATTTCTGGGAAAGTAGTGTAGAATTTAGCTATGAATATGTTTATCGATTCTGGAACTTTATTGCCTTTGAATCCTATTTTTACAGTAAAAGTTGGAAGAAGTTTTTCCCAATCGTTTGGGTCCCGTCTTTTAAGCCTCGTGACCGAGGTCCTGGAATGTCCGAATGTATGTTTTCTTTGATTTCTGCGTCAGTAAATTCGACAGCAATTCGCCGCACCACTCTGAAGGTCTCGACAAAGCGGCGCGGGATAAAAGAGAATATTTTAGCATTTACAAATTCGCCATTTTTGAGACATTTGTTAGCAGATGGGCCATTATCAAAAGATACCTTGTAAAGGGATTTGCCTATAGCTTAAATATTCAGTTTCCTAATTTTTCCAAAGAGAAACAGTCCATTTTTAACCGACTTCCAAAAAAGGAGGAGGTTATCAGTTCGTCGGAATATTATTATTATTTTTTTCGATGTATGTTACCGCATAACTTTGGACCACGTCAAACGATTTCGATAATTCTTTTTGCATCGGAAAGGTAGTGTCTCAGAGGTGGTCCCATACTAATCTGGTTGAGATCCGATCAGTGGATCATTAGCTATATATATATATATTTTTTTTTTTATATGGGAGTTGAAGTCGGTTTTTTTTTGCTAAAAATTACTTGGTTTTATTATTTTCAAACAGGGTTCGAAAATTCTCACTCACGTTCTCTCACGATCTCGATCAAGAATATTCCACAATTATTTTTGCATTCTTTTATCGCGAGTGAAAAATGCAAACAAATTTATCATCTCTCATATTCGGAATGCGATCGACAAAAAAATGTCCGCTGCTTTTCATTCGCGATCGAAAAAAGCAAAGAAATTTCCTCACTCGAATATAAGAAGTGCGAGCAATGCCGATGTCGGTCTCTCATAAATGAGAAAAACGACGCAAGTAATCCATTCGCGGTCACTCACAACAGCTTATCGCGATAAACTTATCGCAAAAATTTTTCAGCGACGTTGTATGGGAGATATTTTTCGCGTTTGTTTTGGTTATGCGCTTTGTTATGCATACAGCATACATACATATATACATATCGTCACTAGACACGAATAAAGGCGCGAGCTCAAAAGTTGACGGCGAAAAAGACGCATACAAAATTTCAGGGTCAAAGACTATGAGACAAACATACTTCGCCAAAGTTTTTTATAAGCATCTTTTTTCGCGAAAGACTAGCGCGCCTTTATTCGTGTGTAGTGACGATATGTATATGTAAGTAATGCAAGCAAATGCTTTTCGGTTGGAACGAATGTAGGAATATGCACAAATATATGAATTAAATTACATACATACATACGTGTAGTTTAAGTATATTCCAAGCGTACACTTTTCAGTATAATGGTGTATCTGCATGTTATTTTATTATAATGATTGCGTTCATTTATTATCTATATATATAAAATAATAGCCGTTTTCATTGTTCGGAGTTAACTCAAAAACTACTGCATAGATTTCGGTCAAATTTACAGAGGTTATACCTTGCATATATGGTCCTATTATAGGCTACCAGAAAACTCAGTAGGTGGCGCTGGGGTCGAGTTATTTATGAACCGATTTCTTTTAAATTCAAAATGGTAGCTACTCGCATAATGGCAAACACGTTTACCAAACACGTTTGTCTCTTACGCCGACGATTGCTCGATCATGGCGACTGGGTATGGAATTGATGACCTGTGTTCGAAAGTAAACGGATATCTCTCCGAACTTTCTCGCTTCTTCACTGCAAAGTGTCTAGCCCTCTCCCCTACGAAATCCTCTGCGACCCTTTTCACAACCTGGCCGAAGGAGGTCAGGCTACCGCTAGGAATTCACGTCGATGACACACCAATTCCGACGGTGAATAATCCAAAAATTTTCGTAGTAACATTCGACAGCCTGCTCTCCTTCTCTGCGCACGCAACCGCTATTGTCAATAAAGTACAGAGCCGCAACAAAGTCCTCACGTCGCTAGCCGGCAGAGTCTACATAACTCGAGACTGAGTCCCTGTGAATGCCGTTCAGGGCCTGTCGGTAAGCTGTCGGGTCCAGAGGTTGCTTAATGAACCTCTGGACTTCGTCCGTCAGTTCATATAGATGCCTCCTGACGTGCCTGGGCAGGACCCAAATTTTTCAGCATCAGCATGCATATTCCGTCGGGACCCATGGCTTTGGAGGCTTTCGCCTTCCCGATGGCCACCTGAACTTCACCGCAAGTGAAAGCAAGGGGGGCACAATTTGTTGGCAGTTTGTGCAGCCTTCTGGTCACTCGACGCTTGGCTTTGTCTACCGGAGGATGCAGTATGAACTGCCGGCTAAAATAGCTCGCGCATCGCTCCGGGTCCGACGAGGCATGGTCGCCGAAGGAAATTTCGACTCTGTCGTCGTGCTTCGTCGGATTAGACAATGACCTCACGGTTGACCAAAGCTTGCTCACACCAGAGGTGAAGTTACAGGTCTTCAGATGCTCCTCCCACTTCTTCCGCTTATGTACGTTTACTAGTTGCCGAATCTCCGCGTTGAGATCCCTGATACGGGGATCTCCGGGATCGGCCTGACGAAGGCTATCACGCTCATCGGCTAGAACAGCCGCTTCGGCAGGGAAGTTTGGACGTGGGTCCGATATACATCCTGCCGGTATGAAGCGAGCTGCAGCAGCAGTGATAGCCCTGCGGAACTTACGTTCACCGAGATGGACGTCGGTTGGTGTGGGGAGCGCAGCCCTGCGGAACTCAGTAAACTCCGCGTAACCTTTCCAATCAGCTTTAGAGAAGTTGATATAGGTCCGGTGTTTAGCGGAGGCAAAGTCGGTTGGTTTATCGATCGAGAGGACTTTGGGCAGATGGTCTGATGCTAAAGTCAGCATATTTCGCCATGTTATGCTGTTTATCAGACCAGCGCTGACTATGGTGATGTCTGGCGAGCTGCTGCAGTTACCCATAATCCTGCTGGGTGCGTCGTCGTTCATTGTGCAGAATGTCGAATCGTCTATCTGCTCATCCAAGTCTGTTCCCCTACGATCGTTTGACAGGCTTGAGTGCCAAAG